AGAAAACATTCTTTACTATATGAGCAATGTAGCGAAGGTACTTCAAGAACAATATGGTCTACGAAAACAAGGGAAAAGTTCAGACATAGACGAAGAAAATGTAAAACAGCGTGCTAAGAAAAGTAGTGTAAAGTAGCTTCCTTACAGTCAAATAGAGCTGGACTTAAATGATTGTCAAAACGCACTAAAGAACGTATTCTCGAATGGCTATGATTGTCCAAACGCGCTATAGATTGCCTATGTTTATGCTAATAACACTAATGAAGTTTCATTTTTGGTTGATGATTGTCAATAAATGCAACCGTTTGTCAATTGGTGCTATTGAATTACCGTTGAGAAACCTTCTGTTGCAATTTGTTACAGGTTGAGCCTTTTTCCCCCTATTTTGACTGGACTAAATCCAGAAGAATGTGAATCTACAATAGTTTGATTGACAACTCCTAATATGGGGTACATTTAATATTTTGAAATATCAGTCTTAAAAACAACCTAAATTCAGAAATAAATCACGGACAGGAATGAGTCAAATTATCGTATTGAATCGGTTTTCTGATTGTTATCCTTGGGGCTCTATATCTGAAATTATGAATTCAAGGTCTACATCATGACAGACAAACCAGGGCTATTTTACAGATATGCAAACATTCGTCTTTTTTCAGCAAACTGAGTGTGAAGAAAGCCAAATGGCCGAAACGTTCATTAAAACAGATTTACAAACAAGCGCGTTTTCGGGATACTTGGCGTGTAGTAATAGTAGAATAGCTTTATGAATAAATGGTATATTTTGTTGTTCTCATATTAAAGAAATAAATGCTGAATTAAGCCTGAAGATGGAATGGAAGGATGTATACCAAGATAAAAAGAGTGAAGAATATCGCTCATTGGTTAATCGTATAGAAAATGAGGTCAGCAATAACTTAGGCTTGATCATAATACATGCTAGTTGGCATCTGTCAAATTAGTAGTCACAATGCCATAGATTTCTTTTCTTTCACTTTTTTGACTTTTTGTGTTTTTAAGATATTTGACGCATACCGAAAAGAAAATCGTGACAAAATGCTGAAAGAAGTCAGAGTAATCTCGTTGAGGTAATAAATACGAATTGTTCATTTTTTGTGTCGGTGATAGATTTTTTCTGTGTCGGTGATAGATTGTCTGTGTAGGTGATAATTTGTCTGTGCAAGTGAGTGGAAGAAAGGGAAAGAAGGTCAATGAAAGAGGGAAGATGAAGTGACTTTTTAATGAATGTGTGAATAGATAATGGACAAAAGGGCTTGTATGTGCATGGAGAAAACATGGAAATTGAAGCTGATGAAGACATTAGGAT